ACAATGGTGCCAATCATCTCTATAGCCTAAGAATTCGGAAGCTACAAGTATTTCATCACTTCAGTTTCGCAGGATATAAACAGCGCCATTTGTAAATTGGGAAAGCATCTGATCACACCGATTTTGGTTTGATTAGATAATGTAAGGGCAGAGGAGATATCTAGAGCCTGATAGACCCCAGATTTCTCAAAAAAGAATATATGACAATGCCCATTGAAGTTATAGGGGATATTTGCATTCCCTGTTATAGCATTAAAAGTGATCAAAAAACCAAAAAATTAAAAAGGTACAAATGTAAAAATAATAAAAAACGAATCAAAATTTAAAAAAAAAAAAAAAATCGTCCCTTCCATGCACGCACACCTGTGTGCACAAGCCTTGACCCTGTGTCGGTATATAAACAGCGGTTGCACCATGCATGTGAAGTATTGCCGTGAACGTCAGATCAAGGGCAGTAATTCTAACACTAGACCTCCTCTGTAAATCTAAAATGGTAGCTTTTAAAGGCTTTTAAAGCGTTGCATATGGATATTAAAGTTTGCAGTTTGTTGCCATTGCTCGGGGCATGCTCAGTTTTAAAGCATGTCATGTTTGGTATCTATTTACTCGGCATACCATTATCTTTTATATTTTACGAAATAATTGGCTAATATATTGTGCTTTTGTGCATTAAAAGTAAAAAGTGTATTTTTTTTTTTTAAATTTGCCTTTGAAAAATTGCTGCATGAGTACTATGTGCCATAAAAATTGTAGTATCCACCATTTTATTCACTAGGATGTCTGCTTTAAAAAAATATATAATGTTTGGGGGTTTTAATTAATTTCCTAGCAAAAAATACTGATTTTTTTCATGTGAACAAAAAGTGACAGAAAAGGCTTGGTCTTCAGGTGGTTAGAAGAGTGAGTGATGTGTGGCATAAACTTCTAATGCTGGGCATAAAACACCCCCACCACCCAAAACTACCCCTTTTTGGAAAGTAGACACCCCAAACTATTTGCTGAGAGGCATGTTGAATCAATAGAAGAATTTATTTTTTTACCACAAGTTTTTGGAAAATGACAAAAAAAAAAATGTTTTTTTTTTTTCACAAAATTGTCACTTAAATGATTTACTGCTCACACATGCAATGGGTATATGTGGAATTACTCCCCAAAATACATTCTGCTACTTCTCCCGAGTATGGGGGTACCACATGTGAGAGACGTTTTGGCAGTCTAGCCAAGTACAGGACCCCAAAATCCAATAAGCACCTTCAGGCTTTTAAAGGGCTTTATTTCCTCATTACACTTCCAGACTACCTATCACAGTTTCGGAGGTCCTGAAATGCCAGGCTAGCACCTAACCCCCCAAATGACCCCTTTTTGGAAAGTAGATACCCCAAGGAATTTGATAAAAAGCACGGTAAGTATTTTGCAGATCTCATTTGTTGCCACAAGTTTTTGGAAAATGAAGAAAAAAAAACAAAAACATACTTTTTCTATTCTTTTTTTATATTTCAAAACCTTGCGAGAAAAAAATTAGATCTGCAAAATACTCACCTTGCCTCTTTTTAAATTCCTTGGGGTGTCTACTTTCCAGTAAGGGGTCATTTGGGGGGGGGGGGGGGTTGGGTGCTATCCTGGCATGTCAGGGCCTTCAAAACTGTGATAGGTAGTGAGGAAGTGTAATGAGGAAGTTACGCACCTTCAGGCTTTCAAAGTGGCCATTGGATTTCAGGCTCCTATATGTGGCTAGGCTCCCAAAAAGTCTCACACATGTGGTATCCCCATACTCGGTAGAAGTAGCAGAATGTATTTTGGGGTGTAATTCCACATATACCCATAGGTTGTGCGAGAAATATAAATCATTTAAATGACAGCTTCGTGTAAAAAAAAAAATGTTTTGTCATTTTCCAAAACTTGTGGAAAAAAAATAAATCTTCCATGGACTCAATATGCCTCTCAGCAGATAGCTTAGGGTGTCTACTTTCCGAAAAGGGGTCATTTGAGGGTGTTTATACTATCCTGGTATTTTAGCACTTCAAGAAATGTGATAAGCAGTCAGAAAGCAAAAGCTGTGTAAATTCCATTATCTATACCATATTTTGTAGATACTATAAGTTTCACACAAAGCAATCAATATACACTTATTGGAAATTTTTTAACCAAAAACATGTAGCAGAATACATTTTGGCCTAAATTTATGATGAAATTTTAGTTTTTTTGGATATTTTTTTATGACCAAACTGAGAAAATATTGTTTTTTTCAAAAAAAAATTTTTTTCTTCAAAACTTATTTGGTTATAGCGCCAAAAATAAAAAGTGCACAGGTGATCAAATACCACCAAAAGAAAGCTCTATTTGTGTGAAAAAAAGGACATAAATTTAATTTATGTACCATATTGCATGACTGCGCAATTGTCCATTAAACTAGCACAGCGCTGTATAGCAAAAAAAATGGCGTGAATTGCAGTATCTATACCATAGTTTGTAGACGCTATAACTTTCACACAAAGCAATCAATATACACTTATTGGGATTTTTTTTTTACCAAAAACATGAAGCAGAATTCATTTTGGCCTAAATTTATAACTAAATTTGAGTTTACTATATATTTTATATAGCTGAAATTAAAAAATATCGTTTTTCTTCAAAATATTTTGTTTATAGCGTGAAAAATAAAAAGCGCACAGGTGATCAAATACCACCGAAAGAAAGCTCTATTTGTGTGAAAAAAGAACGTTAATTTCGTTTGGGTGCAGCATTGCATGACCACGCAATTATCAGTTGAATTAGTGCAGCGCCAAGTAGCAAAAAGAGGCCTGGTCAGGAAGGGGGGTAAATCCTCAGGAGGGCAAGTGGTTAAGGCAGCACTCTAGACTGAGAAGCAAGCACTTTGCACAGTAACACTTTGTAACTTCTAAACTGTTGACACTAAAGCACTATCGACACTTCTTATTTATTTCAGGTACTTATATAGCGCTGTCAATTTATGCAGCGCTTTACATATATATTGTACATTCACATCAGTCCCTAACCCTCAAGGGGCATACAATCTATGGTCCCTAACTGACATTCATACATACACATACTAGGCACAATTTAGACAGGAGCCAATTCACCTACCAGCATGTCTTTGGAGTGTGGGAGGAAACCAGAGTACCCGGAGGAAACCCTCGCAGACACAGGGAGAACATGCAAACTCTAGGCAGGTGGTGCTGTAGTTGGGATTCGAACCAGCGACCGTAGTACTGCCAGGCGGAAGTGCTGACCATTTAGCCACTGTGTTGCCCTAACTTCTTCTGTTAGATTACACTTTTCCCCAGGTGCGCAGCATTTCTGAGACAGTACCATGGAGCGTGTACTGGTCTCCACCAACTCAGCAGTCTCGTCACCTCTCTCCCCAGTGCCACTGATCTATATGTTGGTATTGGATAGAGGAAATACACTTTTCCATAATTCCATGCTTGTTCTCTCTCAGGGCCCCACTCCATCTCTGTGACCATAGACTAGGTTCCTAGGTACTCTGTGCTGCGACGTTGGTCCCAATACATAGTGAACTTGTTGCTAGTGAAGGGGCCAAGCAGAACACCCTTTCACTACCAGAGTATTCATCACCCTAGTCATATCACCCGTGTCATGGCTGGTTGGGTGCTTCAGCGAGTGACACAAATATGGTAGTTATTCGCAACAGCAATATTGCCTCCTTAGAACAGCTCTCTGCTCATTAGATTTTTGTACTATATCTTCTCTATCCTCTACAGTCTCCTGATGTAACTCTTGTTCTTGGCTACTCTTTACTTGCACCCCTTTAGAGACTTCAGACCAGGCATATCAGCTAAACCATAAAGATCTTTTACTTAAAGTGAAGCTCCACCCAAAAGGGGAAGTTCAGCTTTAAGGCTTTATCCCCCGCTCCCCGTTAAGGAATGGCACCTTTAGGGAGCGGGGGGGAGGGGGTATCCAAATTTGACAGGTACCCACTCCCACCTCCGCTACGATCACCTAGGTGATCAGAAGCAGAAGTTGTCCTCTTCCCCTCCCTCCCCGTAGTCTTCTGGGACACGTCTTCAGAAGACTATGGGACCATTCACAAAGCGCAATGCTGCTCCTGCATGCGCAGTGGGCGCCTAGCTGTGAAGCTGCAGGCTGTCACAGCCAAGTGCCCTCACTGAAGATGCCATCCCTGGGGAAAAAGTATGGCCGGTGAACTCGGCCAGTGTGAGGACACCGTGGGATCGAGGGACAGGTGAGTGCTGTTTATAAAAAGTCAGCAGCTACAGTTTTTGTAGCTGCTGACTTTTATGTTTATTTTAACTGGACCTCCGTTTTAAGTAGTAAGGTAACAAATGAAGAGTTCTCAAAGACATCTTCCACACACTTTCCTGTACAAAATTCTCTAACATTACTGGTATAATCCACAAGAGTTAATAAGTAATTAACAAAAGATAGCCCATGCAACAAGTATTTCAAATCCCTGTAGATCCATAGGCTCCAGGCCCCACTGCGAACCCTGACTGGACTTCCCCCAAAGGGTGGTTCAGCCCCGACCGAATACCAGCTGCTTTTTAGCAGTCTTTTCCCTAGCCGACCTCCCTAGGGCCACTAATAAGGCTTATTTTTATGGTATGATCTGTAGGAGGTAGTAACCTTCCTCAAAAGAACAAGAAAACCTGGCCAGCAGCTTTAACCCTTCCTTCTCAGGAACCACTGGCTGAACAGTTCAACCAAGGACACACTAAGCTTTTACACACACAAATACAGTGGAAATAACTAAACCCAGAGTACACAACATAACAGAGGGAAACTTCTAACACATAAAACATTTTGGAAGCACCTGCTTACACTGTTACCTTTTTTTATTGCCACCAAACACTGAATATTCAATCCTAGGTTAGAATTAGAGTAGTTCCTGTGGAGAGATCTTCGATTTTGTGTATATGAATTTGCTATTTCCATATCACTGCACTTCTTTGTATGTGCCAATACAGATACACAATCTGTTGGAATTGTTAAAGACTGAGCAGAACATCTACAACGTTGTCTTTCATGAGCTGATTCGACAGGTCAGTGTGGAGTGTATGGAGAGAGGGGAGCTATTAGCTAAACTCAGGTCAGTACTAACCTGGAAACCCTTCCTAAGCCATTATTACATCATGTGTATCCTATTAGAAAAAAACAAAAGTAATGTATAAGAAAAAGAAAAATTACTAAAGACAGTTTAGTGTCTAAAGACAGTTCATATATATCAAGGGGTAGTCTGTGAAAACTGATCTATGGAAGATTTACCCAAACAAGGGCAAAAGACTAGTTACCAATATTTATACTGTATATGAATCTATACTTAGTGTGTTCTAACCAAATGTAATGCTGTGATTAAAATACAAATAAAATAAATGTGCAAAAAAGTTAAATCTCAATTACAAAAACAATATATTAATTTATCCAACCAGTGTGCAAGCCGTGGGAAAATTTAAATTTCCAAATCTACTACCTAAAGCTAGGTTCACACTGTTCGGGGTGGTTGTGGGTGCGGGAATCACAGTTGTTCCCACACCTGCAACCAAAATACGATGTTCTGTAGAGACGCGCAGTGCTGCCATTCATGCTTAATGGCACCCCCATGCATCTCAACTCGCAGCACGTTTGTGGGTGCGTGAACTGCAAGGAAATTGCATGGTGCAACTGCACCATACGATCTCCCTGCAGCCGCGTTTTTAAAAAGGTGCAAGCACCTTTTTTTGCGGGAAGCACAGGCACAGTAGTATATTTAAATGAATGTGAACCTAGGCTAGGGTAAGTATAGTGTTTATTAAAACATTTTTATCAAATAAAAAACAGTACATATGCACTCACATGTACAAGGTATTAAAAAGCATATCAATGAGTCTTCATCAAGTGGCAATTTTCCAGGCGGACAATGGTGAGCAAGTCCTCCCAGGAGGATGTGATTTACGGTGCTTGGAACCAGGCAGTTAAGGACAGGAACACCATGAAGCAGCAAATTTTATGTCTATATCACATGGATGAGAACCACTGTGGACAGCAAGGTAGTATTGTCACAGGGGGGCTACACCCCAAAACACGCAACCACTGCCATTTACGTCACATATGGCATCAACACAGCTGTCTGGTTAGCCCGCAACACTTCCTTGCTGTTATTATATATTTGTTTTTAATCAAATTTGTTTGCACTTCTTTTTATTCTGTTTGTATTTTATCACAGCAGTACATCTGAATTGATAATTATACCACATTAATATCAACAAGGGGTTAGCAGGAACAGGACAGAATCTACATCCATGGCACCACATCCCAGATACAATTAGAAATAAGGGAAAACCGAAGGTGCCAAATAATACAAAATAGGTTAAAGAAAGCTATAGTGTATTAGTGCATAAGTAAAATCACAATAAAAGTTTTAAAGTGGAACTGAACTGCATCTAAGCACCACAAACCAAAAATGCTATTCAATTTATTTTTAATATTCAAAGCAAACTCACCCATCCATTCATGTCTCCATGCTTTATTTTACTGAGAAATCATTCTGAAAAACACCCCCTGGCATATCCATCTTGAGTAAGGGAAGATGATTCCTTATGATTTACTTCCTGGAGTCCATCTTCCCTTAGCTCAGGCATAGGATGAGCTGAGAATACGCACTCCTCTCCTGAAGACTCCCGGAATGTATGATATTATTTGTCTGGGCATGGAAACCAGGAAGTAACTAAAGAAATGTAAAAAACAAAAAGTTTAAAACAAATATGATATACTTTCCTATCTATTTACTAATGCTTGCAGCATAAGGATTAAAATAGTCCATGTTGATTGAAAGAATGAAGTTCCGCTTTAAGTCTGCAATTTATTGTGTACTTAAGTCTTTTATTATGATTTTACTTATGCACTAATAAACTATAGCTTTTTTAATCTGTTTTATATGATTTGGCACCTTAAACGTCCCTTTGGCTTTTACTTATACCACACTACGTTTAGATCACATATGAGTTTTTGATGGGGATAGTATACATTACCTGGTTTATAGGTGGGTGTGCATACATACAGTATACAGATTGCTTTTTGTTATACATTGATTTTGTTTTTGTGGGCAAACTATTTCAGTATGGTGGTAGAATTATTGGTTTAATTTATCATATGTAAACTATTAATGTTACGCTATGTGTGAGTAAAGTTACAGATCCAGATTCCAAGATGGCGTCAGGTGGGAGGCTTGGGCGGAGCCTCACTTCTGACGTCATTGCTTTATCTGCCATTTTGGAATCTGTGTATGTTTTGAATGCTGCCTATTGCTTCAGTGTTTGTAAGTAAGGTTTTATTTGCACATTAAAGACACTTTAATTTTACTGCACTATAAGAGGCACTTTTTATTTTTACATGGGCTAATCTTGATACAATATCGGAATGGCTTACTGACATCTATGTGGAATCTGGGTCCCAGTCAAAGTATAGGAGTCGGGACGGAGCTGTGTTTATACAGAGCCTACTATGACCCCTATAATTATAAGCCTCCATTTTGCTTATATGGTGGTGGTCCATTCACTTTGGTGGTTTTGTAGATGGAATGAAGATTATCACTACTTATTATTACACCCAGAAAACAGGTGTTTTTTCATGAACTGTCTGCCAAGGCTGCTATTCACGTGAACTTTGAGCACTTATTGTCCACCGCATGGAGTGTTTGTGATTATATTCATATGATTACTGTATAAGTATCAGCTGTTTTTTATATTTTTTCACGGATTTGTCACTATGCTCACACATAGCGCAACATTAATTGTTTACAAATTTTTAATCGAGAGATGATGTCCTCTGAAAGTGTTTGCAGCTTTGTACTATGTGAGTGTGAAAATTTGCGCAGTTGTTTTATTATGTAACATAGTCACCAATATTACCAATGTCCTTATTTTATCTTATCTTTTCCTGTTAGTGACTTATGTCTTATTCTGCATTGTACCTTTGTGTGGAGATGGCCACCTTAGCATGGACAGGGCTTTGTTTCCTCATGTCAGAGCTTCAAAGCATAGAGTGAGAAACACAGAAGTGGCATCACAAGACCTTACACCAAATATCCTGAGACTAGCAGTCAGAGGCAACAGTACTTTAGGTCTCAACCTGCAAATATACAGTTATGAGGCTGTATACACAGAAGTGCCTAGGCACAATCACATACCAGGATGTGCACTTCTGTTTCTAGGAGAAATTCCAGACATAGGTATAATTTTCAGGGTACTGCTTAGGCACAAACACCATTTCTAAAACAGGAAATCTTCACTTTTCGAGTTCAGCTCCCATTAATATATTAATATCTTCAAATCTACTATTCACCATTCAACTAACACCTCAGCCGTCATGTCGTGGGACTTGTGGGCCTGAGGAGACATTAACCAAATTTTCCTATTTTGCAGGCTCCTTTTTGTTTTGTCTGTCTGAGAACTCTTGGCACATGAAAATCATGTAAAAAAAATATTTAATACATAAAAATATGGATTCTGATTTACCGAGATGGTAACTAATGATAAACTCACAAAACCTCTGCCTGTGGGAGAAGTAGAGGTTGGCTAATGCTCCAACATTTACAAATTTTTGTAAAGCCATGGGTATTTTGTATTTTGATTTTGTAGACAACGATATGTATTGTTACTGGATAAGATCCCCCGCCAGGTACTAAGCCTGTATAATGACCTCTTGGCTCAGCGGGCTCTGGGACCGAAGTCTCACAGAAGAGATCGTTTATTTCAAGAACTCTATTGGAGAACTGACCAGGTAAATTACAATGGTATATTTTGTGGCTGTTTATACACCAGGGTATTCCACATCTATTTAAAGTACACCAGTACACAAAGGAATACGGAGGTTCCATTGCTGACTTCTGAAAATACTAGATGCTTGGTTATCTCTGGCCTCTGCTTTATAAGCATGCAGTTAGTATAGTCAGAGTAAAGTTAAAAATCCTTATCTGCATAATTGCTGTAGCTCAGGGTCTTAGAAAGTTTTGAAGCCTTATATCAACATAGTACATCAGGAACTAGCATGATAACAGCAGCCTAGGTTTTCTGCAAATGGCAATCACTGTTTTGTAAAACAATACAATATATTCAGCCTATAGGATGCAAATTAAAGAATACAACCAAAAACACATCCTTCTAAGTGAGGGAGCTTCCAATTCCTTAATGCAGATACTCGTATTACTGTCTTTTCAATTAATAGTTTTTTCTTTTTCAAACTTAAAAATAAAATATTCTTCATCACAAATTAAAGAAAAATAGATGTTGCTTCTACGTGTACGCTGTTATAGTTATTCTATACTGATCCATAATAGTTATTCTATAGTGATCCATAGTAACAAAGGCAGATCACCTAGTGGCTAGGTCACAGTCATTGTACTTCTTAGTAAACATGTCTTTCAGTCGCTCAGTAATCCAATGATTGCAAATAAAGTGGATTACGGATGGGTTATATCTTCACAGGTATGTTTCCTGGGCCCAAAGTACCAGGACAAAGCATGGAGTTGCACATAAAATAGTTAGTATCCTTTGAGATGTGCTGAGAAATAATAGTATGAAAAAGCAGAGAGTGCCTCAGTACTTTTTCTGGAGTGATGTTTTCTGAGGTTTACAATAAACTGTGACCCAACTATCAATTAGGAAAATGGCTTGTATTACTCTGAATTAGCATTGAAACAGTTACAATAAGAAAAATACTTTATTTTACCTTTGATTTTAGATTATAAATGGTAATATCTGATGAACATTTTCAGCATTTCCCACTCTGCTTCTTTGCATTATTTCCCTTATTGTTTTTACTTTTAGTAATTGCAGTGACTGTCCACATACTAGTTAAAGTAAATGATCAGATCGATCAACTTTGCACACACTGTTTGTCACCCTCCTGTAGTCAACAGTGGTTCCTCCAACACATCTCCCACATAAGCAACAGATCATGCTGAAGAGTTGAAATCTACGTTTTGGGATATGATGCAGATGAGTATTTTTTGTTTTGATATAACATCCTTTGTGTCCCCTTTTTTTACCTGCTTTATATTGCAATGTTACCTTTTAAAGAGCAGTACCACACAAAAAGGTGACACAAAGTCCAGTAGTTGGTAAGTCTTTCTTGCTGTCCAGTCTTCCCCACCTCTGACACTACTGTGTCAAACCAAGCTTTGCTGTTTTTCTGCATGTTTCTATGTAGAGGCTGGCTGTCATTCAGATCCAAAAGCTTCTGTACTTTCTGATTCACAGACCAAGAAAATGTTTGCAGATCACTCTAATCACTCTAAGAAGACTTGATTTGTACATGTAGTCAGTAACGAAGTCAGTATTTCAAGTTTTCTTCAAGTTTAGATTATTACAAATTATTCAGATGTGTCAGTTGTTGGATACTCGGAATCTTATTTGACCTTTAGTCATTTTTAAATAGATTTGGAATGTATGAATTTACTAATTTGTTACTTCTGTACTTTCTAGTGAGTTATATCAAGTAAGAGAGCATGATCTGCGCGTTAGCAAAGAAGCTAAACAAGCACAAGCAGAACTGGCTAAAGCATTAAAGAGTGCAAAGAAGAATGTCCAGGTAAGAATAAATAATAGTCACACCATGTGAGGGCTATGTGGATAAATACTTAGATTTGTGGCACTAGTATGAATGCCCAACTCTTTTACTTTCCATCAGTGGGCAGCAAGCACTTGAGGTGGCACTTGATCACCTTGATTGCAATATTCTACACATCTTTGTAGCTTTAGTGTGAATATTCAAAATTAATTTATATACGTATATTATTCATATAGACGATACAGGTACTTGCAGGACTTGATACAAGGAGAATCAATGAGAAAAGAACTTTAATAATAGACAACCAATGTTTTGGTTAGACACCTTTTTCAAGTTTGCCTCCATCTACAAAAATGTAAATAATAACCAAAGAACCCCTAGCCTTAAACCCTGGTTCACATTGAATACGACTTTGAAATCGTGCAACTTCACTTGAAGTTGCACGATTTCAAAGTTTCATATTAGTGCAACTTCAGGTGTGACTTGAAAGACATCTGTGCGACTTCCAACACATATGTCAATGTAAGTCACATCAGAAATTGGCAAAAGTAGTGCAGGAATTGCAAGTCGGAGTTGCAAGACAAGTCGCATAATTGTGGACTGGGGCTAAATGTGTGTCCCATACCCAATTGTGGACATCCATTTAAATGCACCAAACAATACACATATAGAAAACAAAAGGCATAAATCTGTCATTACTAAAGAGGAAAGGTAAGTAACTAATAGCAACATTAATATAAATCACATACCAGGTGGGAAAAACAGGATAACAGGTATATGTTAGCAATAACAATTGTCTACAAATCAGTTTACTCCAGCAGGGAAACAACAGAGGACAGAAGTATGCTGGTAACGTGGCCCTTCTGACTGACATAGAGAGCAGGTAGGATATATATATATATATATATATATATATATATATATTTGCAAGAAAAAGTATGTGAACCCCTTGGGATTACGTGGAGTTTTGCATGAATTGGGCATAAAATGTGCTCTGAGCGTCATCTAAGTCACAACAATAGAAGAACACAGTCTGCTGAACATAATACTACACAAACATTAGATGTTGCCATGGTTTAATTGCACATAACATGTAAACATTCTCAGTGCAGGGAGGAAAACGTATGTGAGGCCCTAGCTTAATGACTTCTCCCAGAGCTAATTGGAGCCAGGAGTGAGCCAACCTTGACTCCAATCAGTGTGATGATATTGGATGTGTTGCTGACAGCTGTCCTGCCCTTAAAAAAAAACACACACCTGTTTTGGGTTTACTGGTTTCAAGAAGCATTGTCTGATGTGAACCATGCCTCGCAGAAAAGAGCTCTCAGAAGACCTACGATCAAGAATTGTTGACTTGCATGAAGCTGGAAAGGGTTACAAAAGTATATCCAAAAGCCTTGATGTTCATGTGACCACGGTAAGACAGACTGTCTACAAATGGAGAAAGTTTAGCACTGTTGCTACTCTCCCTAGGCGTGGTCGTCCTGTAAAAATGACTGCAAGAGCACAGCGCAGAATGCTGCATGAGGTAAAGAAGAATCCCAGAGTGTCAGCTAAAGACCTACAGACATCTCTGGCACATGCTAACATTTTTTTATTGACACATCTACAATAAGGAAAACATTAAACAAGAATGGAGTACATGGGAGGACACCACGGAGGAAGCCATTGCTGTCCAAAAAGAATATTGCAGCACATTTGAAGTTGGCAAAAGAGCACCTGGATTTTCCACAGCACTACTGGCAAAATATACTGTGGACAGATGAAACCAAGATTGAGTTGTTTGGGAAGAACACACAACACTATGTGTGGAGAAAAAAAGGCACAGCACACCAACATCAAAACCTCATCCCCCACTGTAAGACATGGCGGAGGGAGCATCATGGTTTGGGGCTGCTTTGCTGCCTCAGGGCCTGGACGGATTGTTGTCATTGATGGGAAATGAATTCCAGAGTTTATCAAGACATTTTGCAGGAAAACGTATGACCATCTGTCCGCCAACTGAAGCTCCGCAGAGGATGGGTGATGCAACAGGAAAATGACCCAAAGCATACAAGTAATTCAACAAAACAATGGCTACAACAGCACAGAATACGCCTTCTGGAGTGGCCCAGTCAGAGTCCTGACCTCAACCCGATTGAAATGCTGTGGCATGACCTTAAGAGAGCGATTCACACCAGACATCCCAAGAATATTGCTACACTGAAACAGTTTTGTGAAGAGGAGTGGTCCAAAATTACTCCAGATCATTGTGCAGGTCTGATCTGCAACTACAGGAAACGTTTGGTTGAGGTTATTGCTGCAAAAGGAGGGTCAATCAGTTATTAAGTCCAAAGGTTCACAAACTTTTTCCTCCCTGCACTGTGAATGTTTACATGTTATGTGCAATTAAACCATGGCAACATCTAATGTTTGTTTAGTATTATGTTCAGCAGACTGTGTTCTTCTATTGTTGTGACTTAGATGATGTTCAGAGCACATTTTATGCCCAATGCATGCAAAACTCCACGTAATCCCAAGGGGTTCACATACTTTTTCTTGCAACTGTGTGTATATACACACACACACACACACACACACACACACACACACACACACACACACACACACACACACACACACACACACAACACACACTCAAAAAACCACAAAACTTAGAATATCGTGCACAAGTTCATTTATTTCAGTAATGCAACTTAAAAGATGAGACTAATATAGGAGATTGACTCATTACATGCAAAGCAAGATCGTTCAAGCTGTGATTTGTCATAATTGTGATGATTATGGCTTACAGCTCATGAAAACCCCAAATCCACAATCTCAGAAAATTAGAATATTTTGAAAAGGTGCAATATTCTAGGCTCAAAGTGTCCCACTCTAATCAGCTAATTAAGCCATAACACCTGCAAAGGGTTCCTGAGCCTTTAAATGGTCTCTCAGTCTGGTTCAGTAGGAATCACAATCATGGGAAAGACTGCTGATCTGACAGTTGTGCAGAAAACCATCACTGACACCCTCCATAAGAAGGGAAAGCCTCAAAAGGTAATTGCAAAAGAAGCTGGATGTTCCCAAAGTGCTGTATCAAAGCACATTAATAGAAAGTTATGTGGAAGGAAAAAGTGTGGAACAAAAAGGTGCACAAGCAGCAGGGATGACCATAGCCTGAGAGGATTGTCAGGAAAAGGCCATTCAAAAGTGTTGGGGACTTTCACAAGGAGTGGACTGAGGCTGGAGTCAGTGCATCAAGAGCTACCACACACAGACGGATCCTGGACATGGGCTTCAAATGTCGTATTCCTCTTGTCAAGCCGCTCCTGAACAACACAACGTCAGAAGCGTCTTACCTGGGCTAAAGAAAAACAGACCTGGTCTGTTGCTCAGTGGTCCAAAGTCCTCTTTTCTGATGAGAGCAACTTTTGCATCTCATTTGGAAACCAAGGACCCAGAGTATGGAGGAAGAATGGAGAGGCACACACTGCAAGATGCTTGAAGTCCAGTGTGAAGTTTCCACAGTCTGTGTTGATTTGGGGAGCCAGGTCATCTGCTGGTGTTGGTCCACTGTGCTTCATTAAGTCCAGGGTCAATGCAGCCGTCTACCAGGAGGTTTTGGAGCACTTCATGCTTCCTTCCACAGACGAGCTTTATGGGGATGGTGACTTCATTTTCCAGCAGTACTTGGCACCTGCCCACACTGCCAAAAGCACCAAAACCTGGTTCAATGACCATGGGATTTCTTTGCTTGATTGACCAGCAAACTCGCCTGACCTGAACCCCATAGAGAATCTATGGGGCATTGCCAAGAGAAAGATGAGAGACATGAGACCGAACAATGCAGAAGAGCTGAAGGCCGCTATTGAAGCATCCTGGTCTAATTTTCTGAGATTGTGGATTTGGGGTTTTCATGAGCTGTAAGCCATAATCATCACAATTATGACAAATCACGGCTTGAACTATCTTGCTTTGCATGTAATGAGTCTATCTCATATATTAGTTTCACCTTTTAGGTTGCATAACTGAAAAAAATTAAAGGAACACTTTGAAAACACATCACATCTCAATGGGGAAAAATATCATGCTGGATATCTGTACTGATATGGATTTGGTAATGTGTTAGGAACATAAGGATGCCCCATCGTTTGATGAAAATGATCAACCTACAGAGGACTGAATTCAAAGACACTCTAAGAATCAAAGCGAAAAAATGATGCAGCAGGCTTGTCCACTTTGCTGAAATTTCATTGCAGCAACTCAGAATTGTACTTAGTAGTTTGTATGGCCCCCATGTGCTTGTGCATGCCTGATAACGTCAGGGCATTCTCCTAATGATACAGCAGATGGTATCATGGGGTATTTCCTCCCAGATCTGGACCAGGACATCACTGAGCTCCTGGAAAGTCTGAGGTGTAACCTGGCATCGTCGGATGGACTGAAACATGATACCCCAGAGGTGTTTTATTGGATTTAGGACAGGCAGGCGTGGGGGCCTTTCAATGGTATCAATTGCTTCATCCTCCAGGAACTGCCTGCATACTCTCACCACATGAGGCCGGGCATTGTTGTGCACCAGGAGGAACCCAGGACCCACTGCACCAGAGTAGGGTCTGACAGTGGGTCCAAGGATTTCATCCCAATACCTAATGGCAGTCAGAGTGCCATTGTAGTCTGCAGAGGTCTAAATGCATCCCTCCATATATATGCCTCCCCAGACCATCACTGACCCACCACCAAAACGGTCATGCTGAACAATGTTACAGGCAGCATAACATTCTTCATGGCTTCTACAGAACCTTTCATGTGTGTCACTTGTGCTCAAGCTGAACCTGCTCTCATCTGTGAAAAGCACAGGGCACCAGTGGCGGACCTGCCAATTCTGGTGTTCAATGGCAAATGCCAATCGAGCTCTATGGTGCCGGGCAGTGAGCACAGGGCCCACTATAGGATGTTGGGCCCTCAGGCCACCCTCGTGAAGTCTGTTTCTGATTGTTTGGTCAGAGACATTCACACCAGTGGCCTTCTGGAGG